TTTCCCACATTTAACCCACTTAACTAAACATTTTTGGAACTTAGTCTCAATAGATAATATAGAACCAGATTTATCTACTGGGCCTAACTGGACAAATTTATAGGAATCCTCAAGAATAGTCATCATCTTGTCAACATAATCTTGATAATCAAGAATTACAACACCAGAACCTTTATCAGGTTTCTTACTCACCAAAGATTTATTATTACGAAGTGCTTTGATTACATGATATTGTTCCCTGTTCCACTTTGATTCACTAAGAGAAACAGAAGTACCTGCGTAAGAATGTGTTATATTGTTTAACTTTGATTTAATGTCACTGAACTTGCTAACAAATTCAGGTTAAAGCTTGGCTAGCTGAGCGAGCAAAATCTCAAATTTCCAATAAACTTCTCGCTTAATATGCGAGGGAGGAACACAGCAATCCAATCCATACGAGAGAATCGATAGTTCTATCGCGGACAACTGGTATGAAAAAAGATTCAGAACATTCTGACTAATATCAGAATTAGCAGAACAACCAAATTTTTTATAAATTAAATGTTGCAACTTATTTTGATGTTTAGTCGACTATATATATATATATATATAGTCGACTAAACATCAAAATAAGTTGCATATAAATATATATATATGTGTGTGTATGTATATATATATATATACGAATAATTTGGTACAGTTTTTTTTATAAATATTATATTATATCTCAACTTATTTAAATAATCCTGTAATTCTTTTCGGTTCCGCTCGATTAATTTGTAGACATGAAAAATGTCAGATGACAACAATGGTTACTACGAATTCTGGAGAAAATAAAATCGTTACTAAGTTTATTGGGTTCAAAGTTATAGAATTTTTAATATTTAAAAAAATAATTTATGTCAGCTTCTTAAAATATGCTTTCAAAATTGTTATGCAAATTAAGTATTAAAATTTATGTTGTTATCGCCAAATTAAGTATTAAAATTTAGCAATACAGGTTATTTTATACCGCTGTCAGGTGCTACAGATTTACAGAAGGATGCTGAAATATAAAATGGCAACAATGAGGTTTGAAAATAGAAACAAAAAAGTAATTGATATTGAATCAGAAAAAGGGCACAAAATGAGGAAACAGGGCTTACAAAATTTGACCCTATACATTTTAAAAGCAAGATGGACAGAGGATTGCAGTGAATAACCTACAGAACGGGTTGAATAGGCATTAGAAGAGATGACCCCAAAACAGACATTACTGAAAGCCACAAAAGACAGGAAGCCGTTGAGAGCCATGATCACCCATGTCTTTAAGGAAAAAAGAAAATTTAAAGTGGAAAACACAACAATTTTAAAATAATGGATATAAATTTCACGAAAAAAAAAAAATCTCTTGCACTCCCTAAAATCAATTTTACAGACATTAAGAAAAGATATGTGTGTGTGTGTGTGTGTGTTTTTCTCTGTATTTTTAAAAATTTTTATTGTATATTTTTCTCTGTATTTCTTTTATTGTTAAATTTTCATAAGTTCTTACCGATTTTACAAGTATTTTATTATTGGAATGGTTTACATCCTACTTTTATGTTTGATTTCTGTTGGCTTTGAAATATCGCCATTAATAATAACTCTTTTTATCCAGAGGATACAGCGTAGTTTCTCTTTGTCTTTCCTTTACGAGTTTACATATATTTCAACAGTACTATTTCAGACAAGCCATAAAGAATTGGCCTCAATTTCCACCCTGATACGCCATTCGACCACAAAAGCCACCACATTTTCCCAGATTATGCTATCACTACAACGATCACAGAAGTAAATAAAAAAATATATGCTGAAAAAATGAACAAACAGGCGACTCCAATCTTAATATGGCATGCACGTGTTTGTATGGAAGAGAAATTGAAATGAGAGAAATATATATCGATATATTCGCTTTGAAGCAATGGTTAACAGTAATTGAACAGACTATTAGTAGGTTAGTAAATTTGATACTCAGTTAATACTTGATATTTGTGGTCTTGTGCCAGACTGAGGAAATATCACGGTGCATTGGAATAGAGAAGTTTTTTTAAGCAACAAATCGCTGGCCACGTCCGGTTGGCTACAAAATTTTATCTGGAACGCAACTTGAAATTTGAAAGGTATCGACTGTTAAGTTGATTATTTTTCCTCGCATCTGCTAATTTTGACATTAAAAAATAATATGTAGACTAGATATCCTTAGATGTTTATTAAAAAATAATAATTAAACGTGATCTCCCTAGATGTTTATAAAAAATAATAATGAGACCAGATATCCTTAGATGTTTATTTAAAAAATAAAAATTAGACGAGATGTCCCTATATGTTTATAAAAATAATAATTATACGAGATATCCTCAGATGTTTATTAAAAAATAATAATTAGACGTGATATCCCTAGATGTTTATTGAAAGATGATAATTAGACGTGATATACTTGATGTTTATAAAAATAATAATTAGACTAGATATCCTTAGATGTTTATTAAAAGATAATAATTAGACGTGATATCCCTAGATGTTTATTAAAAAAGAATAATTAGGCGAGATATCCCTAGATGTTTATTAAAAAATAATAATTAGACGTGATATCCGTAGATGTTTATAAAAATAATAATTAGACGTGATATCCCTAGATATTTATAAAAATAATAATTAGACGAGTAATACTTAGATGTTCATTTAAAAAATAATAATTAGACGAGATATCCTTAGATGTTTATTAAAAAATAATAATTAGACTAGATATTCCTAGATGCTTATTAAAAATAATAATTAGACGTGATATCCATAGATCTTTATAAAATAATAATTAGACGAGATATTCTTAGATGTTTATTAAAAAATAAGAATTAGACGAGATATCCCTAGTTATGGGACTTGGAACGAAAACAGTCTACCTACGTAGATTGAATAAAACGCTCAGTTCGGAATTCCTTGTAGGTAACCAGTATCGATATATATTTGATGAAGACCAGTGGGGGCGGGGCACAACGGCCGAAATGTTGTGATAACAACAACAAAGATCAAGACAATAGTCTGCATGTAAATAGTGCAAATAATGATAAACCATTCCAGAGATTCAGACCGAAGTTAACCTATTTCAAGTTGCCCAAGGCCAGCACGGAAGAGTAGACCCATAAAACAGACAAGAAAGTAACAAAATCAAAGATCTTTGGACCAGATTGGGTCACCTCTACATCCTGGCCTTGTGGCCAGGAGTGTGCATCAGTCATCGTGGAATCGTATTACAACATCGATCAAGTGATCAATTCAGTAGCCATGGATTGGTGTGATGTATGCAAGTAGAGGAAAAATAATTACAGCATTCAAATCTGAACTCTTTGTAGAGAACTATATCATGTTAGGAGGCGTTACGGTCAAGTAATAGATAGCGGCTTGGATTGAAGAATCGGATGAGCCAAGTTAGTATTCCAGTTGAATCCATTACATTCACTTACGTCCTAAAGGTATGAATCCTCTTCTTCCCCACTGCTATGGGTAAATAGCACAACAGACCGATTTCTATAGCCTTGGGTGGTAACCCGTCCAGGAGGAGGACAACTCTGAATTCAAAACCTATTCCTGGTGGTAATACAGCAGGTTAACAACCTACTCCCTTAAAAATGCTTGGTTGTTACAGAAACCGCAAAGATATCTTCCGGTCCTATGTTCTTCAAGGAATTTAAAGGCATAATATATATCATGTTAGTGTGCATTCTGCCGTAAGAAGAGATAACGAACATGTATATTTTATCAGTGTAAATACGGCATTGTTTCTTTGCATTTGCATTTGCCATCGTTATCTTTGCCCTAAAGCAAGTCAATGCAATTCTTTATTTATAAAATTTATTATTTTGGGCTTTTTCAAAAAATACGCAAAACATTCAGTAAGGCCATCGTCGTGGAACGTTTCGTTTTGGCCAACATAAAGCAATGGTTATCAAGTTGTTCACGTTAATTATTACTATTGCCTTTATATGCCATATTCCTTCTTGATGTAAATGATCATGACTCTCCACAAATTCCAATTATGTTCTAATTACATTTTGACTCTTTACCATCTATCTTTATATATGTTCATTAAAACGAAATCCAGAAGCATTTTCTTGACTGTTTCCTCCTGCAGCTCTCGTCTGTAATATGTCCGCAGAGTGCTAAATTCAACAGGATCCTCTTTCCTCATTGTATGTTCCGGAAATTTCAGATGTCTCATTATGATTGTAAGTATAAGTTTTCCTTGTAGTTCAAATATTCCTTAAAACGATACTCACATTCTCTTGTCACAGCCGTCTTAGCATTCGTGAGTAGAATCACATTTCTGTTGCTTCAAGTCTCTTCTTCATCTGTGAAGAGCATTCATTGAAATACAGGCGAATAGCCATCACATAACAGTACATCAATTTTTTCTTTCTTTTTAACACCATTTTCTTATTACTTAATACTTTGCTTATTTTCCGAATTATTACAACCACTAAACCACATTGTGGAAAATGTGAGGATATATTAAAGAAAATAACATATTTTTTTTTATTATGATTTGATAATTTTATGGGTTAAAATATTTTTTATTTAATGTTTATTTTTATATTAAAATAGTAAAAAGTGATCACCGATATTACATTCTGATTTAAAAGAATTTTGTTCTGAAAAGAAATTATCTACGTTAAATCGAAAAGTTATAATAAAATAAATTAAATTTAACAAAAACATCATTAAATGTATTTTTCTTGACGCATTTCTAGGCTCCATCATGCCATATATCCTGGGTGGAAAAATCATCGCAATTCCCTTCGTGTTTCTTTCGTAAAGAGTAAGTTTCATTCAAACAATTTCTGAACTATTACTCTACTGAAACACACTATCGAGAGGGACGTTTCCTTAAAAACTGCAATCTTAATCTCTTTAAATCCAGAGTCAACCGTTATCTATCAATTCATATCTCCTCCATAATATGTAGTTCCTACTTTCTTCTTCCTCCTCTTTTACAATAATTTCATTCAGTTACCATCTCTCCTTGAAGAAGAAGAAAGAAGAAGAAGAAGAAGAAGAAGAAGAAAAAGAAGAAGAAGAAGAAAGATTTTCAGTCGAAAACGAAATGTGAAGAAAAAAAACAAATGAAAGAAAACTAAAGGCTAATGAAAACCCAAAATAGAAGAAACGAACAGAATCTTGTATCTTCGCGAAATTTACGGCATCTGGCAAAAATCTGGGGAAAATGGCGCGGAAATATCCAAATGTAGATCTTTACTTTATTGTTGATCATCAATCAACACTGTTGCTTCAGAAATCAACAAAACACAATTATATATATATATATATATATATATATATAATTTAAAATATGTTATATGTACATACAGAAATTTTATGTATATATATATATATATATGTTTAAACATAATACATCACACACATACACATATGTACAAGTTTAGTTAAAGACCATTGAACGAACTGTGTTAAGGATTTTATTCTTTCTTTTATCTCTATTTGTGACCATTTTCTTGCTTTCCGATAAAAAAAATTAAATATAAATCGTCTGATATCCGAGTACCTTCGGCTTTTATAAGCCATTATCAAAGAGGTTTTTTTTTCGACATATCAGTTCCATCGTTTTTAAATATTACACAACCACACACATACCTATATATGAATAAAGACAAAGGAAAACTTTCTTTTACATACGCCTTTCGCCTTCTACTCGATTTTAATTTAGACAAATGTAAGGATTTTATTTTGCAACTTGTATTTATAAACAGAAGATATTGTTATGTATAGAAAATTTAAGAACTCTCATAAACATTCTTCAGTTTGAGAGTGATAGTCAAGTTAAACTATGGAGGCTGATAGCGATGTAATTTGACGCTTAATAAAGGATAATGCGTGTTTTTATTGTTAATTTTTAAAAAATACTTTAAAAGAGAAAGTAACTTATTTAGACGGATCATTCGTGAGTGTGCCGCTCTCAAAACTCCATTATTTAAAATAAATGAATACATAAATAATTTATCAAATTAAAATAAAGTAATGAATACTTACATTTACGACACATCACGAACACCAAAAACGTGAGATATCCAACACAGACTCCTAATCTCAATATAATTGAAACATTTTGGTGGGAATTGAAGAAACAAGTGTTCCAACGATACCCCCAATCCCCAAGAGGTTTGCAATTACTACCAAGAAGAATGGTAAAAAAATCCGAATGAGAAAATCTAGACATTGTTCCATTAAAGAAACAACACCAAATTGAGGCAATAATTCGAGAAAAAGGCAACAAATTACTAACTGCGTATTATGAAGTTATTTAATTTCTGTAAAAAGAATAAATTTCTTATTAACGTCTTAAAGGAAATGAAAGGATAAAATTTCATTGGTGACCCAGTATTTTTTGAAGGGCTTTTGTTTTTTCGTATCACTTTCCTGATGATGTTCTATCATCTATCTAACTATTTGAGTTTAAATATTTATGTCATCGGTCGCTTTTTTTATGCCCCGTGTCCCTTCAGGACGTGGGCGATTATGACTCTCTATAATTTATTAGACTTTGTATGTTTTAGCAGTATTTTTCTCTTTTCACATTTATGTTACCTCAAGTCTCAAGTGTTTATATGGTCCACTGTTACATAGGAAGACTGGTATTGCATAGCAGTTCAGAATTTTATTTAACTTAGCTAAAATTACCCAGATATTTTTATAATTATTCTAATCACTATCGCAGATATATGAGGGCTTTCATTAGAGCAACAGAAGTGTTTGTAAAATTCTGTCTTTTTTTTTCAATTTTGCGAATGACAAGTAGTTATAACAGGTTACTCAGTGCATGTGTCAAAAGAGAATTTGTTTTCACGTGAAATCGATAAAGAGGCATATAGTTTTTGATTGATTTTTTTACGGCTCATCAATCATTTACAGGTTATTTTACGCCAGAAAATCTTATTAGATTGTAAGAATTTTTTAGAGAAAATAATGATTTACTGAAGCAAGTCAAACAAATTAACCAATAGCTTGGGGAAGAATAGGTGGATTCATACATTTCCCAAAAGGTATTTGAGCGTAATGGAATAAAATGAACCTGACTGGAATCAGAACTCGGTACTCCCATTTCCAATTCAGAGTACTTATGCATTACACCACCCACACTTCCAAGTTTACAACACCTGCTAAAGGGATAGTGGCACATGGTCTGAAGATGCCCACGCTATATCTCTCTCCGTCTCTCTTTCCTCTCTCTCTCTCTCTCTCTCTCTATATATATATATATATATATATATATATATATATATATATATATGTATATATGCAAGTTTCAATAAATATGACAGACAAGGTGCTTTGATTACGTTTTTTATATAATCTTTCATATGATCTTATAATTAATTTCTTTTCCGTAGATAAATTATACAAAACTGTTTAAATGTTTTATTTTTCAAAGTGCTTTCGGCTATACATTTAGTCATTATCAAGGAAGAATTATATTTACTGTTAACTGGAAATGGATTGTTGGGTGCATGTATTTAGCATTATAGATTGTTTTATTTTCAAAACACGGTCAAGATATTGTGTCCATGTTCATAGTTGACATCATTGTGTGTTGTTTTTTGTTTTTATTAATAAGGCTTCCATTATTTTTAGCCTTTTTTACATGTAGACGATGCGATAATATTTGCATTATCAACAAGTATGTTACGAATGGGGTCAATTAGGTCCCCATGAGTATTTAAATGTAACCTAATTTAAGTATGGTTAGAAAGATGTAGCGGGAGTCTTCTTGTTAAACATGTTGTGGTGTGGGCTATATATTTATTTACAAATGATTGATCAGGAACACAATTTCTTAATGGACATTTAAATTCGTAAACAATATTTGTTCTATTTAATATTAATCTAAGGGGTGAATTATTATTTTTAACTTTAAGTTTGACTGTTCAAAGTTTTTATAATAAATTGTCTAATTTTCTTGCTCTTGTCTAATGGTTTTCTGCATTTTCATAATGTTAAGAACATTATAAAAAATGCATTATTTCATCTTGTTTGTCATTATCATTCATCTGATATTTTTATAAAAATATTAATACTAATGTTTATGTTTGTATTCTCATCGTTGCTATTACCGACCTTAGATAGAAAAAGCTTAATATGGAAATCCAACATTTGTATATATATATTTATATATATATATATATATATATATATATATATATATATATATATATATATATATATATGGGATGTGATGGGAAGCCAATCAGTGTAGAAGGATTTGGGGATATCATAATAATAGCATGGACCCAAATTTTGAACGAGTGCTTCCAGAACATCATAGAACCCATGCCACGAATAACTGAGACGTTTCTAAAGGCGAAAACAGGGTCCAACTGTTTTATTAGACGAGAACACCTAATAAATTGACCGGTGTGCATACATATATTAAATATCAGTTTGATAAGCATATAAAACACAGCTTTTTAAGGAATGATTTATTTAAACGTGTAAAGAAGAATAGACACTGAAATATTGTTTTAACAATGATTGTGTCCAACGATGTCCACTTCCTCCACAGTTGCAGCTGTTGTTTTTTTAACTTAGTCATTTATTTATATTTACGTTTCACCAGGTCCATTCTCCGGCCAAATTTCTGTCCGAAATGTTATTTTTAAAAATCCTGCATGAGGATGGCTGAAAAATCATTAATTATTAAAATAACAGTTAATCTCTGAACGCCTCACAACCATTATATCTTTTTGTAACCGTCTGACAGAATTTTCAATCATCTCACAAATGCTAGCCAATGTGTTTCTTTGTTTATGGAAAGAACACGGAGAAAGGTCACAACGATTAACAAAAAAAGAGTCTGAACTTTTTTCAAATAACAACACACGCCATTGAGAAACATGCATTCACAAGTATATAGATATAAGTATATAGATATCAAGTATATTATATAAAATGTTACGTAAATATATAGAGTACCAAGTAGATGTTTTGAGCCACTAAACAAACAGATTATTTTTTTTCGTAAGAAGCTTTAAGTGGTCGGTGATGTACTTTCATACCTAGTATCTGTGCATTTGCATTGTATACAAGCCGGGAAACTAAATGCATGGGGATGCTAAAAATAGGTCATAAAAATAATGACGTATTAGATATGTTGAATTTATTTCTTATTAAAGTCATTAAAAATCAAAACCGGTAGTTGGTATATGTAATATTTATTTTTTAGGACTTGGTATGAAACTTTCATTCATAAAGAATAGCAACTTCAAGGTAACTTCAAAGCGGATCCCTGTTCAATGTGCGGTATACTTTCAGGATTTGGACAGTTATTTCTCTCATTTACACAGGGCCGCTAGGCAGGTTATTCGCTGTCTTCCTCATTACCTACTATGTGGCGTATGATATTCGTGAATTAGACGATCATTGCTCTCATTTACACAAGCCCGTTAAATAGCTTATTCTCTGCCTTCCTAAGTAACTTCTATGTATCGTATCATTTTCGGGATTTAGACGATCATTGCTCTCATTTACACATGGCCGTTAAGTAGTTTTGTCGCTACCTTCAACACTACCTTCTATGTCGAGTATCTTTTTGGGGTTTTAGACGATCACTGCTCTCCACAACTTCCTGTCATTTGTAGCTTTTAGTAAGATTTGTCTTTTTGCTACCCTCCTAATTCCTCTTCTGCCAACCATTTACACATGCCCATTAGGTAATTTATTTGCTGCTTTCCTTGTCTTCAATATGGCGTATACATGTCAAATTCTCCAAGCCTTTCCTCTTTATATTCCTTGAAGTGTTATTCTCAGCATTCTTCGGTAGAACCAATTTTCTATTGCCTCAAGTCTCTTCTTCATCCGTGGGGAGATTCTGTAGGCGTTCCTGTTTTTCGGTGTCATCTGTGTATTATGTGTTGTTAAGATTGTGTTAATCAGTAAGGAACATTGGTGGGATTTCTATATCTGCAAAGACCACCTTGTAGTATTGCCAGGACATCTACAATTCCCTCATCAACGAAAAGCGTGTTTGTTGCTCTCGACAGCAGTGTGCTCAATCATGTTGAAATATTTCATATTCGGCTATATCTGGTAAGATTTGAGACATCAGAAATTTATTGCATGCTA